TTGAATATTATCCTTTTAGAAGTTGCTTTGGTTGTTGATCCCTGCAATGATATATTAATATATTAAAAAAATTTCCAAAACTACAAAAAAAAAATATAAAGAAAGGCGTTTAATGATATGAAAAAAAAATAGTTTGTTACCTTTGATAAAAATGTCCTTATATATGTAAGATTAGTTTGATTGTGAATATCATACTCACCTGACAAAACAATTTTTAACAAAATCAATTTGAGATAAATGTTTTTTGGCGTTGACTTTTGGAGAAGTGATTTCGTTGGGTGTTATTATCTCCTACAATCATCCTTTATATATAGAGAGTGGGCTAAGTAATTTTTTTTAAGTGGTTGATTTTGAGAGAATCAAATTGTAATTATGAGAGAGCCATTAGTGGGCTAAATAATTTTTTTTAAGGTGGTCGATTTAGTGGGCTAAGTAATTATGATTAGTGAGTTTAATTAAAGAGTCAAATTGTCATATTATATTTTATCAATATCATGTCATAATAAAAATAGAGAATGATTCTAGAGATGATAAATAAACTAATTACTTCTCTATTAAGAGATATGCAGTGAAGTGATGGCATTTCTATTTTCATTTTTTTTTTTAAAACAGAAATATTTAGATATCAAAATCCTTCAACCAAACCCACATATTTCGACGGATTTCTTATTGTATATTCAGAAACGACGGATCCATCCATTACATGGAAAACAAAAACTATATATAATTAATTTCAAAAAAAGAAAAGAACTATATATAAACATCACACGATACAAAGACTTGACATACAAAGTCAAAGTCCAGCATTGACCGGTACTCCCGCCGCCGTAATCCAATAGTTTCCGTCCAAGAAATTCTCCACCGTGAATTTCCCGGCCTCCGTCGCCGTCTTTATAACATGATAGCCCGGCCACTTAACTCTACCGGAGACGCTTGCTCCGGCGCCAGTATTACCATACTCGCCGTAATAAAGAGTTTTAAGAGCAAAACCTCCGCTCCAAGGCAACCATCCCGCCGGACCCACTAGCCCTCCGATATTACACTTTATGAAAACTGTCCTCGAGTACTGTTTCCACGGCCGTCCTAAGTAAGTCTCGGCCGCCGTAGCAACTGTGGAGCTCTGGATGACGAAGCCGGTGCTTTCGTTAGGATCCTTCCGAGATTGGGCCGTGACGGTGTTTTTCTGGCCGCTCATTGGTTTACGAGCGTAGATGTTACAGTTTTGGAGGATTGCGGTTGCGTCTCCGAAGACCATATCGACCGTGCCGTAGATGTTGCAGTTTCTCAAGAACTGACGACGAGAGTGAAGGTAGAGAGTGTCTTGATAGCCTTTGAAAGAACAACCGTAGAATACGGAGAAGTCTGAGCCTGATCGGAGGGCCACCGCTTGGTGTTTTTCCGGTCCCGCCGTGTTCTCGAATGTTATGCTTTGTGCGATAAAACCGTCGCCGGAAACAGCTGGTTGTTAAAATGATAGTCCAAGAGTTATATTTGAAGAGTAAATTATATGTTGACAAAAAATGGAAAAAGTAATTTATTTTGGGTTGATTAATAACATCAAGTAGTAAAAGATTTTTTATTTCGGTAAGAAAGAACGGTCAATGCAATAGTGAAACATAAAACGGTAAGAATTTTCTACCACTTTATTCTCTTTGTACCACGTTATATTCGATCTCTTATCATTTTTAATCTTAGAGCTTTATCGATTAGTCATAATAGGAACAATGTATACTTTTTAGCGCACTGGTAACAGTTTACTAATCACACGATTTGCTTAACTCAAAGTAATTATCTATAATGGAATAAAAAGTTAAGAAACAAAATTTTGTAGTATATAGAGCTTCC